CAACTCTCCTGGTGCCTTTAATGAGATATATCCCTCTCCTACTTCCAGTCCTAATTACTTCAGAGCCATCAGTTAATACTCATGGAAGAAGGAAGGGAGGTCAGCATGGGAATGAGCTAAAGGACCTCCAGTTTTGCCCCAGAGACCTACCTTCCCTGGGCTTGTATAAGGGGGTACAAGCACACTTCACGGTACAGTGCAGGTTGCTGCATCTTCAGCAACTGGAACTCAGAGCTTTTGCAATGCCTCTCATGCATTTCATATTTGTTGTTTGAGAGATGGGTGAATATTATAACGTCTCCTTCCTTGGATGGCAGAACATGGCAGCACTAATGCTCACTTTGCTCAGTGATGGGAAGAGCCCATTCGTGACTAAGCACTGCTTTAGAAACACTTCATACTGGACTGTCTTGAAAGCAATTGTCCACCAACCATTAGATACTCTCCGTCTCGCATCACTGTATATTTGTTGTCCTTTCCCTACCCTGCTCTTGGCATCTTTTTAAGTTTTCTCTCTGGGTGAATTGAAGCACAAGGAACACTGAGTGAATTTCCTGAAGTCCAAAGCTTTCACCTGATCTGAGACCTCAACCTTCAGTGTGTTTGTGTTTCTCCCGTTTTGTCACTGTTTTGCCCCCAAATGTGAATGCATTCTCTTTCAAAGCAGCAACAATCAGTCCCAGCAAATCACCATCAGGAATCAGTCAATACTATGTATCTGGCATGGGGATGCATTACCTTCAGTAGGAACAAAAAGTTAAATGATAGGGAGACTACAACCCTTCTCTGACCACTGAATCAGCTTAAATGTTTCTGATATTTCATTACAAATCTGCATCTGTCCATACACATGAAAAATGATTCAAAGTCACCAAGTACATAGAGTCCAAACACTTGAGTTGGATGTCACTGATTATGTACCTATCAACCCAATGGGATCAATAATTTAAAGAATGTATGCAATTGAAGCGTTGTCTTAATCTATGTTACAGAAAATTGCATGCAGCATCCAGGGTAATTACAAAGGAACGGGATTAGGGCTATGCCATGGAATGGTTTGCTATCTCTTAAACATAGTGCCGGATTATAGAGGGTCATCATTTTATGGATGCTTAGTCCATATTGATGTGTCATCTGGGTATACAAGAACCAATCATCTTTGAAAAGTTTTACTTCTAGTCTCCTTCCAAAGTCACTATGACTTGATACTCATTCCACCTGCATCAAATGCGTTGACTCTATGATCGCAAAATAGAGACCTCATTATTCTGACAAGAAAGTGAGTGCAACTGGATTTCCCTAAAGGAACCCAAAGCTTTACGGTTTTATTACCGTGTCACTCTGAGTTTTCATAGGTATTAATCACAATGTTACATTTTGTCTCAGCATGGATTTAAGTGACTTGATCTAAGCTATCTATTTTGAGGAGAGAAGGGCAAGAACAGCATGAAAACTAAAATAAATAACTGGTGATACTTGCAGTATGGATGCCAAGACCAAAACGTGCACCATTCCACATCTCTTAGCCACTTGTGCAGCTTCTGGGACTGGCATCTCATTTATCCCTTCAAAGGTTCTGATATGTTTAGTGTTACCAGTTTGCCCAGTCTCAGCTATGATGTCTTAGAAAGCTCAGGTTTCCTGCTTGCTCACTCAACATTTTCCCTAGCCACATGTCCAAATGGAGGTTCAAATACTTCCTAGAATCATCTGCACATTTTCCCTCATTATATCCTTTTGCTGTTCCTCTGGCAGAGAAGAGTTGTGGTTATTATGCTTTACAGCTGTGGTGTAAGGTCTGGAAAGGTTTTTTTGTTGGTGCGTATTATAGAGGGGCACACGGAGCACACCTTCTGCCAATGCTGCTTCTCAACTGAGCTCAAGCAGCTGATCAAGCATGATGGTTTGGTTTCTACTGTAGGCAATGGAGTGAGAAACAGCTCCTAGGGACCACTTATCTCATCCTAAAATGGTATTCCAAGAGAAATGGGATTCATTTTTGAAGGATCATTCTCTCCCTACTAACTACAAAGCAAATCAATCCAGTTGTTTAAACTTAAAAGCAATTTTTAGACAGTTACATTTAGACTAGGTGGAATACTAATAAGAGGGTTTTGTTCTTTTGCTTGTTTGGGTGTTTTTGTTTGTTTGTTTTTGTATGATTTGTTTTTTTTTTAACTTCATCCAAAGGCATCCAATGTAGTTACATGATACAGTTCTTTGTTAAGCTTCTCTTTTTGCTCTCAGTGAGCGCTACAATACAGTGCAAGTGCAATACAGTCTGAGCACTGCATTGCAGAAGGGGCAGAAGGGGTCAAGCCCGATGCCCTCTGACACGTATGCAGACCTACTCCTATTGAGGTTTAGCTGTCTATTACTCTTTGCTGTGTATTTCCGTATGTGCAAGCAGCTTTTCAGATAACACACTGTACTGCTCCATAAAAAAAAAGATCCTGTAAAACCTATGCCTTTAGACCATCCCCACTCTGAGATAGCCTATATCTCTCTATTTTACAAAATAAAGGCTTGAGAGCTCATTCTCCTGAGCCTAGTGTTTCCACTGTGTTATCTGTATTATCTGTGATTGTCTTGGAAACCCAGCTCACCCTGAGGCCAGCTATTAACATCTTTCAGCATAACAACAGCTTTTATTGTCCCACTATTTCACATGCATCCTGTCAAGACATGCAGATGAATGAGTTACCAGGGGGTAAGTTTGGGTATAAATTTACAAGGCCTCTACTCCATCATAATTGCCTGTATTCATATTCTCATTCTTCATGCTCAACCAGATGTACTTGGAAGTGATTTGTCCTTAGGAAAAAAAAAAAAAGGGGTGGGGGGGTGTTACTTTGCATCTGCTCTGTAGGAACAAAGAAAAAGGTGTCCTGGAGCTTCTTGTGGAGAAGCTGACATCCTGGGAGGTCACCCACTAACATTCCCTGCCTACCTCATTCTTACATCTGTAAACCCTATCATGTCTATTCTGCAGTATTAGAAATGTTTGGGGAAAAAAAAAAAAAAAAAAAGAAGAAGACTTTTAGTTTGAAAGATGATTTTCATCCAAGTAGCTGGAGTATTTCAGTTGGAAGGAAACACATTATCAGGGAGAAAATACTGAATGGGATTGTCTACACTACAATTCTTGACACTGTGTATATGTGAGCAACCATCCATAAAGGACATGCAGTTTAAATCAGCAGAAGAGTCTCCTCCAAGCCCAGCTGTAATATTTCTCCAGAGACACAACCTGAGAACATTTGGCTATCTGCATTTCTGCATGTGCCTCAAAGCTTTTGTCAGCATGACTATGATGGCTAGTGGGTATGATTTGCTCACAGTCCCAGCTGACAATCAGGTCAGCAAAATCCCAGAGTTTATATATGCTCTCTGGTTCTTTTTATTATTTAGTGGATTGACTAAGAAGCCCTTAATAGCTCCAACAACTGTTGTGTTTTCAATGAAGCAGCAAATAATTGAAACCAGTAAATACTCATTATAACTAGTAAACGGCAATACAATAATAGGCAGGCAAATATTAGAGAACTTCTCACCCAGCTGGGGGAAGCCAAATATAATAAAGCTTGTCTTCAGAGAAATAAGCCATGAAGGGCATCCATCTCTGTAATGAGTTCAATTTGCCCTTCTGACCTGTGGTGCTATTTCACCCAGAATGAGAGCAAAGCTAAAGAAGCTCCCTAATTCCAGTTTGTACACATACTTATCTTACTTAGTATTTATCTCTTACGTGAGTACATTGACTTTGGTGATCTTCAGCTCACACAAGTTGGGCTCTTTATTCTTTCTGACTATTTATCCATTCCACCAATGCTGAAATAAGAATTGCTCTGTAATAGTTTGTGAATACTGCATGATGTCCTAATTATCACAGTGCTCATCATCTTCATGTTAGATGAACTGAAATGTGAGGGGAGAAGTCACGAGGAGGATCAGACATTCTGAGGAAAAGTCTGGCTCAATGTGTGCTGCTTAATGCAAACAACTCTGGGATGTTAAGAGCCATATCCAGGACACACAAAAAGAGGAGCATCAGAATATCAATGCCCTATCCCTGGTGTCTTACATTACTGTTGTAGAATTGTGACTGTGATTGGCTTTTTTTTCCTATTTAGCTTCAACCTCTCCATGGCTATAGAAGATGACTGTAGTTAGTAGAAGAAAAAATATATTTTTCAAGGATATGGAATTGTTATTCTAATTTGAAAAAAGAAAAAAAAAAAAAGAAAAAAAAAAAGAGAGAGAGAGAAGCAGGTACAAGGATCCACAGCCCTTGGGATGGATTCCCTTTCTGGCTTATATTGACATAAAATCATACAGGAGTGGAAAACTTTGTATAATGAGAATTAAAATGCACTACTCAATTTTCATTACTGAAGTGGTGAAGGTCTGTAAGGGCATAATCATAAAACTTTTCCCCTGAATTTCCTCTTTTTTGCTCATTAACTGACTTGTTCAAATTCTCTTCTTTGTTTAGATTTCAGCAATAAAAAATGATTCAGCCGAAAAGCTTTAGAGTAACTATGGTTTTGCACCAGTGTAGAGGATAGCAGGTTTCACTCCAAAAGCTTATGTGCCTAGTTCAAAATGATGCTACAATTGCTGATGTTCAAGGACAGATTGGATAAGCAGCTGCAAGAGAGACCCAGTGTGGCTTACTGAGAATCACATCAACCTTCAAAAATCCTGAGCTGAACACTCAGAGAAGGGAGAGTATTATGGAGAAAGATAAAGCATGCTTACCCTATCCTTATTCTTTACCAGGGGTCTGCTTATGTCATCTGTTGGAAACTGGGTACTGTCCTAGGTGGTCTAAAACACTATTGCTGGCCTTATATTCCAATGATTTACATCCACTGACTAGTTAGAGATACACTTCTTTAAGGACAATTCTTTGCTGCTGGACATTGGCAGAATGATTCTAGAAATTTTGCCACAAACTGGAAGTGTTTTGCAAAAGGGACAGAACCAATCACAGCATGCCAACTTCAGACATTTTATGGCAGAATAAGGGTGTGTTCCTACAGGAGCAAAAACCTAATTGACCCATAATCCCTAAGAGCAACAATGTAGAATAAAATTCCCAGTATAATTGGTTTATAAATCATCCCTGTGTTAGCAGGACCTAGCAATTTATTTTGAGTATCTGAGCATTTATTCTCAGGAAACACAGTGGTTTAGCTATATTTAAACTCTTTGGCTGGTGCTACTGGAGCAAAGATGACAACCATGCACAATGATTTATTTCTCCACTTTACTTTGGTTGTAAAGGTGTGAAGACACAGCTCTGAAAAAGCACTCTACCTAGTGGCCAATGTGCACTGCACAAATGCCATCCCTAGTGGCCAAAGCTTTCTGCTGTGCCGGATTTCCACTCAAAACAGCTGCTGATGGCCAGCTACCTTCATCCTTCCACGATGCCTGACACAATGTGCTAGCTTGTCACTACTCTTTGAGGACTGCTTTGCCAGCAAAGGTTTTCCAGGAAGTCAGTGCCCCACATGGGGAGTCCGCACGGTAACAAATTCACTCTTGTGTAAATCCTGTTCCTCAGGTCACGAGCTGTCCTTGTGCCCTGCATTCCTAACTCCCCTGTACTATGCTAATGTTAGCATTTATTCATTTATTCTGTACAGTGGGCACAGGAAATCAGCAGGGACATTTTTGATTGATGCCAGTTAGGATGGTTACTCCTTATTTTCCTGCTTTGTGAAGAACCTTCACTCTCTGGCAAAAGCAGCAGAAATTGTTTCTGGATGCAGCATCTAGAGAAAACCCCCAGCATTAGCAACCTTCACAGGACAGTGGAGTGGGATGAGGTCCAGATGCAGATTTGGGTGAGATCAAGAATGAGTAGTGAAAGCAGTTTATGGTAGTTTTATCTGAGCAGAGGCTTAGCGTACAGAAGAAAAAGATCCTGCCTTCCTCCATGGAAAAATTTGGAGCCACCTGCCAAATCTTTCGAGCGCTCAAGTGGCCAGCACAGGGACATGGCTGGCAATTTCCTTTTCCTGATGTTCATTTCCACGTTCATCCCTCCAGGAAGCTATAGCAGGGCCATCACTTGATCTCTGCAGCTGTTCTGCTGTGTGCCAGAACGGTGACCTCAGCGGCAGCAGATGGGAAGCAATACAGTAATGTCATCCCTGTGCCATAGATTTAAAAGGACAATCCAGCTTTTCATTAGCAGAATTTCACAAAAAATAACAAAAGTTCAGGAAGTGCCATATGCATATCCTAAGCAGACAGAGGGACCTAGTTACTTTTATCTTAATGAATGATGCTTCTAATGTATAACGAGGCACTGAAAGTCTGTTAAAAGGGAGCAGGATGGAAACGTAAGTTTTTGCACCACACTGTTCTTCTACATTATCAAAGGAAATCTGAAACATTGGTCTCCAGTTACAACAAATTTGATCATGGAAATATGGTTGTAGGGAAAAAAAAAAAAAAAAAAAAAAAAAGGAAACGAGAATTAAAGCTGCTTTCTCCCTTGCTTTCCAAAACTACAAAGTAGCTGGGCAAAGAGAAAACAGTGAAAGAAGGAGCAATGCCTCTAGCCCCAGTGCAAGAGTCTCAGCCTGAGCATTTGACTCTGTGGAAAGAAACAAATACATTTCCCAGCATATGTACCTTCTCCAGACAGAAGTCCCACTCAGGGGGAGATTTCTAACATACTGATTGCAAGATATTTGGCATGCAGACACACCAGCACACACACTCCTTCCTAATCACTTAACAAATATCATTTACCTCTTTCTAGAGCTGAAACTACAAACACAGCCACACCTACACTTGCTGTACCACTTGGGAATGCATCACCAGGCATTTTCCTTGAAAAGCACTGAGTGGCATCTCTGATTCAAAAAAAATGTATTTTCTTCCAAGTCATCTGTTTGCTTGATATACATTTTATCTCAATGGTCACGGAAAGTTCTGAATAAACCCTTATGGAAATTAACATTCTTTGTTTAGTTATGCTCAACATGCAATTTCTACAACCTCTTACACCTTCGCCCAGCAAGATGGGTTGTACAGGATCTACCTGTCTCATGATACAGTGCATTGTCCCTGAAGCTCCTCTTGCATCCCAGCAAAGAATTTCAGCTGGGCTCTCACTCAGTGGGAAGAGATGGGGGTAACTCAATCATTGTGCATTGCACTTGCCTTTTCCTCTGGCTGTTGTGCAAAGAGCTGATTTCATTTTTAAAATCTTCTATTCGATTCATCTCCTGGATGCTTAGGAGACCACCAGATGGTCCCTGTAGCATAAAGACTACTTAAATGAGAACAAATACTTACAAAGAACTTCACTGAGTTCTTATGTAGCCCATTACCTACATATGGGCAAGGAAAAGCAAGAGCTCAGGGAAGACGCTTAAAGAAGGAACTTAAGCTGAAATCTTCAAGTACATCCAACTGCCTTCAGTAAGTAAGGTACCTCTTGAGCATCAATTTTATATGACCTGGAGAGCAGTTTTTGATTTTTAAACACTGGTGCAAAATTCTCTCTCTAACCTTAGCTTTGATCTGAGCTAAGATCATGGAGAACAGGTGAGAAAGAAGACTCTATATGGAAGTGATTAATTATTGCTGCCCACCTTGGACAGTGCTGTCTAGAACTGCATTTTAAAAGCACATAATTTTGATGGTATATCTCTTCTGATTAGCCCTTCAAAAGAATATTCATATAAGTAGGAGCTGCAGCATCTCTGCTGAAGTATTCTGACGACATAATGGATTGTTATAAATATGTAATTTGCCCAAGTGAAACAAGTTCAGCTATTTAGGGTAGGTCAGAGCATTGAGTTATTGTGCTCACTCTAACATAATTCTTACTACCTCTTAGGTCAGAGAGAGCCTGTTTAAATGCAAAATCACTTTGCAACTGCAATTTGCAAAACAATGAAAGAAATATGCACAACACGGTTTGCTGACAAAGCAGAATTTAGTTAGAGTAGGACATTGTTTTAAAGGTTTACCCTGGGGACACCAGCTGTTATATTCTGTCATTTAGCAGTGCTTTAGAAGATACGCTTTCACATAGCACAAGGAAAAGCCAAGAATAAAATCAGGAGACATTTTACTTGTAAATAACAGCACAAAGGCAGGAAAATCTGTGAGTCCACAGATAGGATAGTGATGACACAGAGGCATTCACCATCATATGTGCTACTTTAACAAGCAGGGGAAGCTCATTCCCAGTAAGAGGCTATGAGATAGCAGTTATTTTATCCTTTATTAATACACAACAACTACAGATGCTGATGTTTGGTACTTACTTTTTCTATCCATTATTTCCTATGGCTTTTTTCCTCCTAATATTGCAAACAGCAACTGCTTTTTGCAATATTGTGAATGATGGTTAATGCTTAGATTAGATGAGAGTTGGGAGGAAGAGATGGATTAAATGCAGAGATGATACCATTTTAACAGACTTCTGGCCTTTGTCATAAGTGAACTATCAAACTCAGACCCAACAAAATCCATCAGGAGAATAGCAGCTTTGCCAGCAGCTGTTACAAAGGGGATAGGGAATAATTTTAAGTCAAGACCAATAACTTCTATCGGGATTAGACAAATTCACAGATGGTGGAATTATCAGTGGCTATGAAAAACAACAGTTCACATGCAACGACTCACAACATCTCTAACCTGAGATAATGGGAAGATAAGCAGAAACAAAGCCACCTGGACTTGTTCCTTTGTTTGGCCTCCAAGGTGCAGCTGTTGTGAGAAGAAGGTAGCAGAAAAGGTAGGCAAGATATGACATGCTAGCTACAAGGAAAATGTTGGCCCCTTTCCTCCGACGTTCTCAAATCTGTAGTGATGATGCTGTGAAAGGCATTCTACCATCCTAGAGCTTGGGGCGACAAGTCAGCAACTCAAAAGACAGAGGAAAAAATATATAAATATCAAGGGAGGTGGAAGACTTTACAAGGAAAAGGAACAGCAATGACCTGCATCAAAACAAACAGAGAACCACTTGCCTGAATGAATCTTTGGTTCAATACCATTTGTGAGTTCTGATCACATCAGCCAGGTCTCCAGGAGACAGAATTCCCGGTACAACATCAGCAAATTAGTCCAGTCTCCAGTTGTGACTAATGCCTGGAGGAAAACACGTTAAAAACAAACACATAAACAAAAATCAGGAATTGTTGGGCCAGTTAGACACTGAGGAGAACAGGGAAAACAAAAAACCTGCAGGTGTCTACATAAACCCAAAAGACTGATAAGCTTATTTTCTTAACTTAGGGCTGTAGCTTGATAAGCACAGGGAATGGGAGTAATTTTTACAGTGGCTGTTTGCACGAGGTCAGTACATAGTACAGTGGTCACCTCAAACACATCTATGGAGGTAGAGCCAAAGGGCTTCCAGCACTTTGGTTTGTATCACATTTTTTATCTGCAATGGAGTTTGTAATGACAGCCACATGGGAAGAGCCAATTACATTTCTGCCAACGGTTGCAGCGTGCCCTGTGAAATATTGCATCCCTTCAGCACCTCAAGGACTGCAAAAGCTGGGGCACGAAGGCTGAGGCTGAACACACTGAAGAAAATCTGTGTGCACTGAGTTAAGGAGCAGACTTCCACATTATGGACCTACCTCAAGGTCTGGAAAAAATAAAATAATAGAAAAAAACTATCTTATTCCCTTAATTAGCCCACTTAGGCACAATTGAGCCTGCTGCACTGTGAAGAGAAGCACAAATGTGTCAGACAGACTGGCACAGTGGAACTGAGCATCAGTGCAAGCAGCAGCAGGGACAGATTCAAAACATTGGTTTTGAAACCTGCTACGGATCTGGGGGTGAACCAAGAGGGACTTCAGAGAAATGTCTTCTTGCCATCTTCTTGTTGCACTTGATGAAGTGCTATTGCCCACTCAGACTCTCTCCATGTTCTGCTGCTCAAGCACAACCATTATTCCAGCCTAGGAAGGGCTTTTGTGCCCATCTCTGATAAGACCAGGGGCTGCTTTGTCTGCTGGAGGTGATCTTGCATTGCTGCACAATCCACAGGAATGGATACTGCCAGACCTCAATGGGCCATATACCACAGACCAGAGCTGAAAAAGCCATTGTGTTCCCTGCCTCAGAGTGAAGGGAAAGACTGAATAGAAGAGATGCTGCCAGCTGTTTTCTATATTGATTCCCTTCGCACTTTCCAGTCACCCACTCCTAGCCTCATAAATACCTGCAGGGTCAAAGCCCTGTCCTCATGTGTTGGAGCAGTGACCTTGATAAGTGACACAGCCAATTTACAGTCACTTCTTTGGAAGGAATTGCCCCCCAGTAAAATTTTTTGCTCATTCAGTCTTCCTCCTCCTTCAAGCAAAATCTGCCAGAACCGACTACATCCAATTCATTTTCTTCTTCTTTATATTTTATTTTCCATGTTGTCCCAGCCTCCCCTCGCAGAGGTGTCTCCCTGGGGAAATTCATGTCCCTTGTACTTTTTACTCTGTGTGCATAATAGAACATTATCTGCATAATTTATCTCTCACTACATGTTGTGTTCCTTCTGGCTAAGTGTTTTTCGAAAATAAATATATATCTTTATCATGTACACTGAGAAAAAGAGCCAACAAGCCTGTCCTATGTGAGAACTCTATGATACCCAAAACCTGAGCTACCAAAAATATATTGGCCCAGTCCTTTGGGTCAAATGTGAGCGTAAAGCCGAGCTCCATTCTGCCTCTATATTTTGTAATGCTCAATTCTTTCTCTAGACCTAATGCAGACCTTGCAAAAATGAATCCAGACAAAACCTGGAATTGAAATGCAACCCACAGAATAAGGGAATTCCATGAGATAAGGATAAAAACAAAACAAACCCTGCGTTTAATACCTTTTGTCACACCTCTGAATAAAACAACAACAGTCATGGGACTGGGAAGAAGCACCAGCTGTGGACTAATTAGCATGACCATGACATCCAGGCCACATGGGATGGCAACGTTTCTTCCACCTAGCAAGCTCTCAAGCAGCACAACTGCCAGCCAAGCCATGTTACAGCTCATGGTATGCAGGGGTGCTGACAAAGCATTTGACCATGTCTTGAAGTTAAATGTCCTGGAGCTGTTGTGGTCCAGTCGACACAATCTTCAGTGAGCTTCTCTTCTGTCCGGTTGAGCATGAAGACAGCACTGTGCTTTGCTGATGTTGCTGTTATTTCCAGGTGTTTACAGCTTAGAGCAAGAAAATTTAAAGAAAAACATAATAGAACAGATTATTTTCTATTGATGCCTGAGGTTTCACAGTAAATCTGAATCACAGCATATTAGGGTGAAAACAAGTCCTGAATAACCAGGGGACTGGAAGATCTTCCCTCTTGGTTTATTTTACCACGTGATTACACCCACACAATTAGAAGTGAATGAGATGCTTCTGTGTTTCTTTCCGCTTCCCTTCACAATTCATAAAGTGTCCAGGTTTTCCTCCTTAACACCACACAGTTGAGCCCCTGCTTTGCACAATCTTCCCCACTAGCAGCTGTTCACCAGCAGTTTCAGAGCTTGAGTTTAGAAGGTAGTGGGTCTACCCCATATGAGGACTGAGTTGGAAACTTGCAACAACAGGCAAATCCAAGAACAATTTCATTTTTTAGAGGGTCATAGCAGTGAATTTGAGCCAAACCAAGTGAATTTGACTAGAATCAAGGCTGAAAGCTGTCAGAAGCTTTGCTGTCCCATCCACAGATCCGCTATCCTGTCCACAGTGTCCCCATTTACACATTTTAGACCTGTTAATACAGTCCCCTTTCTGATTTCTCTAGACCAATTTATGTTTCTTACGGGAAGAGCCTGAGGAAGGCAATGTGAATTTAGCTTCACTAAGTCACTAGTAACTCCCTGATACCTCTCACAAGTCTATTTGCCTTTTATCTTAAAAAGATTTTAAAGTAAATAAATAAAAAATTGGACTTTAATGAAGACCCTTTAGAGCTAGGAATGTAGCACCTGTTGGAGTCAGCTGTGAAACCCTGAAAATAGGAAAAGAAAAAAAAAAGTCTGTCTTCTCTCTTCTTTGATAGTATTGCAAAGCTCCGCTGTGCATTTTTATGTTTTAGCAGAAGAGCTGAAACCAGACTTAATAGCCGCAGAAAAGTGACCTGTTTCATTACAGTTTCTTTGAGAATCTCGGAGTCTTTGAGGCCCCTTGCCATGGGAGCAAACACAGAGAGATGAGCATGGAGGGGTTCTTGTGCATGAGCACAGTGGCAAGAAGAAGGGTGAAGGTTTATGCCAAAACAAACAAAAACTTTTCAAAGCTTCTCATCTCCTCTAAACATCAGCTGATCCTTACAAACCTTCCTCTGAAATCACAGGCAACAGTCACTTCTTCAAGGACTTCCTTGGAGGAAAGAAGTTTCCTCTCTCTCCTCATTTTGCCATATCCACCCTTCTCCCTTAAAAACCAAAGTTTCTTTAGCATGTGCTCATCAGAGCCAAAAAACCTGTTTGAAACATGACACACTCTTCTGCTTCCAGAGCTACTATCAGGACTCAGACTTGTATTGATCTTTCTCGACATTTTCATGGCATTTTATTTTCATTTTTATGTCAGTGCCTGAGTGCATCCAACAGAGGTGTCCTTCAGGCAGGTGAAGTCACACTGTCCTTTCTTTCATTTTCTCTGTGTCTGTGCAATTCTCTGTTATCAGTAATGGGAATAAGTTGCCCCTATGCTGTATCAATGCAGAGATGAGACTGCTGGCCTGGCTACCCAGTTCTGGTATTGGTTCTGGTATCAGACCCGGTGTTGGTACCGATACCTGGATCAGTATTGGTTCTGGTATTAGTATTAGTTCCACTGTTGGTATTGATTGGAATAATTTACACAAAAGGATATAAATGGTAACATTTGGTGAGGGGAAGGAAGCCTGAGAACACACAGGTCATTTCAATCAGCTCAGCATGATCAAACACCGTGACGCATCTGCTCAGAGCATCTGTGGTGTTTAAACGTTTGCCCCAGAGTCAAAATATTGCAATACAGAAAATACCAACATGTTATGCACTAAGGAAACCAAGAGTCATTTCCTTGGTGAGTGCTGTGATCTCGGGATCAAAAGGAAATGGAAAAAAAAATCAGTTTTAAAAAGGACTGTAAGGATAATAAAGAGTTTTCTCCATTGATGAAAGTCACAAAGCTGATAGCTACCAAATAAAATTCAGAAAGAGGAATGAGATGATATAGCACATGTGTGGTCAAAAAAAAATAAATCCATTTTTGGCATTTTTGCTTTTCTAATTTCAGTTTTGGACAATCAGTATAATTAAAACAGAATTGCTTAGAAGACCTGTAAAGAAACCCCTTTTTTATTAAGCATAAATAACCACTGGAACTCCCAGTTTAAGTGGCAATGCAAAGTGATTTCTAGCATCAGGGATTTCACAGAATTTCTAGGTTGGAAGAGACCTCAAGATCATCGAGTCCAAAAGGGATGCCTGAGTATTTTTATCTTATTGGTTCTTTTTTTTTCTTATATTTTTTTTTCTTTTATTTTTTTTGGCAAGCTTCCTTCATCCCTTCCCCAAGATGAAGTTTGGTTTGGTTTAACTTGCAGCCACACAACAAATCTTTGCAGAAAATTTCATCTGAAAGAGCTGAGCAACCTCCTAGCTTCAAATTTTCCTCTGGAAACATCTCTCTCACACTCAGGACTACAGAGGGAGCCTCTCTCTTGTAATAAACCAGCTTCACCAACTAAATTAGCCGGGTAACACCAAGTGGTGTGCAAATTCTCAGAGAGAAGGGAACGCACTAGAGCAACTTCATTCAACCATTAAATTGGGCTGTGTCTACCTCTTTCTTGGGGGTTACAAACAAGAACATTTTATGGTAAGCCTCTAGGGATTTCGCAATATCAAGGTAGAGGCAAGGTAAATATTTCAACTCTCTGTAAAAATTTCTGGTCTGTTTATCATTGCAGTTTCTAAGCACTTAAGTGAACCAAAAATAGTTTAGCAGTTC